AGAAAAAGCATTGTGAAGGATACTGTAGCTTAGGGTCTACTTCAGTTTGTTCTTCAAAACTAGTGGATGGATTTGTTATGGTGAGGAATGACTGCAACAATTTAAATCACATAAAATTGCACGACCGGGAGATGTTAACAAATCATATAGTAGATTAAGCAATCACAATTACTACCTGCATCCAGTCGAACATATTGATGAGTTTTCCACTTTCTAAATGAAGCTTGTATACTATACTGACATCAGGTAAACTTGGAAGAATGTCACCAAGATCTGACAATTTGCAGCATGCACACTGGTGGGAGGAGAAAATTTGAATTGTAGCTACTATAAACTTAACTTATTACATCTAATATAATGTTAAATTTGACATATCTTACATCTAAATAGAAATGAGGATCTTTCAAGCCTCTCAGCATGGCCTGTCTTTGAGACCCAACAATGTATGACTTCACAGCAGGTATGTCATCAAAGAAAAGCAATTCATGCAGTGGTTTTGTTTGAGGTGGGGCAAGGAATGCTGTGAATAAATTCTCTAGCAAACATGCAAGCACCTCGTTCCGCAGCTTCTCAAAAGGAGACAGATAGGATGATACATCTTTCATTTCTTTGAGTTTCTGAAACCAAATACATACTTACATCAGCAACCACAGACTTTTCAATGGAGTAAAAAAAATTGATATGAAATGTGTCTTACCTCTCTAAACTGAGACCTGCTATTAATATTGGTTAAGATTTTACTGGGACTTTGCAGTGGACTTTTGACACCTTTTGCAGGACGTTTGCATGGGCTCCTTAAAGACTTAGAAGGTGATGATGGCAACCACAATGTCTTGAATCTTGGAAGGAATCCATCAATTTTATTGGTAACATCTTTCAGTCTCTCTGCTCCATTTTCCACTGCCTCATTAAGGATACAGAGCATCTGAAAAATGAAAACAAAACACCGATTGAGTGAATAATTTATAATGCGGACAACATCATGTAAGAACTAAAACTTCAGTATGATCATACCGCATTTAATTTTATCTCCAATTCATCACTAGATAATAAGGAAAGCAATTTCATGCTGTCCTTTAGCTCTTGGCTTTTTACAATATCACAGGTCGATGCCAAAACATACACAGATCTCAACTGCAACACACAAATCTCAATAAGTTTAGGAGTTTTGGGACTTCTAGTAAAGAATCATAAAAGTACATAAATCGAAATACAGCTCACATGTTTTTCAAGAGGAGCTCCAGGAAGGTCAGCAGTCATGAGATTGAGACATTTTAAGGACGCAAAAAATTCCGCGATGTACTTGTGAAGTTCCTCCAGCAATTTAACTGTTTCCTCCTAGATATATTCAGAACAGTCACTTCAATCACTTGGTTAAAAAAATTAAAATGTTGAGGTTGAAGATAGGAAACATACCTTGACATAATTATCATCTTTTAACCATGCTATTTGATCTGCTCTGGAACTGAGCGATTCAATGTGTTTACGCACAGATGGCAGTTTACGAATAGATTCAATGTCACTTTTTGTGAGCTGCTTTGCAGCAGTGGGTAATTCCTCTGGCAAACAACTAAGAGCAGTCCAATCTTTATCAAAAAAGTGCTGAGACATACAATACTGCAAAATAATATGAAAGCATATGATGAGGACTAAAGTACTTGAATTATTAGATATTTAAATAATGCAAGAAATGAGAATTAACCTTGTATCCTTGAATGAATCCCATCACAGAAAAATCATGAAACAAAAATACATCCATCAGAAGCTTAAAAGTTTTTCCTCCTAAGTGAAATGGTCTATTAGGCAAAAATAAAACCTGAAAAACAGCAATTATAATAATAATAATTAATATTCCAAGAAAAATGAAGAGATTTGTATGCGGCTCATGGTGTTGAACAAAATCTTACTTTTTCTAAGACTTCATTTAAATAGGCAAGGGAGGGTTGAGAGTGGAACACTTTCATTCGGAGGGAAGATGACACATGGTAAGGAAGTGATCTATGAACTGCAGACACAGCTGTTGCCACACCCAAAACGAGTACAAATGGCAGTTTTGGCTGATAACCCCTTAAATAAAATAACAGTATCATTAGTTGATAATGACTTTTGATTTCTAAAGAAATGCAAAATACAACCTAGAATAATCAATTATTTCTCACTTTAGAAGCAGAATAAATTCTTGTAGCACTCTCGGTGAAAAACTTTCAAAATCTGGTAAAATAACAATAAGTGGTTTGGCATCACCTCCAGATTTTGGAGCTGCTTTGTTACCCTTCTTTTTCTTTTTAGGGGAAGTATGGACTTGGAAATTTGAGTACCAAGACACAAGGTATTTCAAATTGCAATTCCATCGCTGAATTTTTTTCTTATCTTGTGAATCTGGTCCTCCATCTTCTTCATCATCACAAGAAGGATCATCAGCCTGTATAGAGGGATTAACATCAAAAACACTTCAAAAAAAGAATTTAAGGCCAAATTTTGATAAAAATTTTCCTTACCTCCTCACTGGAGGGAACTAGCATAAATTGTGAGCACATCCTCTCCACAGAAGCTTTGAGAGAAGAGCAGTCTCTGGACCACAGAGTAGCTACATGTGGCGAGCAGTCACAAACTATTTTCTTGGAGAGAGTTGCGAAAAGTGAAGAGTGATCAGGCATGTTGACACCTGCAGCAAACACAAATTTATTGCGATTATAGTCATTACGTTATAGATGAGCAAATACTGCACACATTAAGTTCAAGGTATTTTAAACTATAATAAATGCATACCAGTGAGAAGAGTTGCAGCTGGTATTTCATAATGAATTTTGACGGAGGTGCAAGCATTAATATAATCAATTAAACCTCCAAAAACCTCATCAAAAATTTGATTTTCCAAAATCTACAAAAATCAACAGAAAAATTATAAGAAGAGGAACTACGTATGAACCAAAAAACCATTGCTGTGCTTACACTTAACAATTCTTCACAGGATGCCAAACTTTTCCTGTATGCTTTATACCATAATTGTCCAGAAAATCGAGCAGAAGAAGGTCCTTGATTTTTCTTTTTTCTTTTGAAAGCAAAACACCCCTGAAATAAAGTTTGTTTTAAGATGGGCAAGGAGATAAACAGTAAATAATAATAAACATAACCTGACATTTACGGTACAGTACTTTTGATACAGACATAGTTGAATCCATAGTGGAAATTTTATCTTATACGATTTTGACGTCCAAGCGGATCAAACGAGTAATCTAAAATTTAAACCTTCTCCTTTCTCAAACAAATGCTTACAGAAGCATAAAGAAGTTGTTCAGAGATGTTGAACTGTCGGGTCGGCTCGCAACTTTTCCCGCTCCCGCCACTTCTAGCAGAAGCAAAGACGGTTGACGTCATGTCTCCAGACCTGACCTCCCCCAAGGCAGATTATTCCTTAAAATTATCTAGAAATTGCAAGTGCGGCGGTTTGAATCCGGTGTTATTTTTGTTGCAAAAGAATTTTTGTACCTAAATAACACATAGTCATTTCCGGCAATCTACCTTCGACAACTTTCGCACCATTCATGCAGTGTTTTGATTTTCCACGACTGTACAGCTGCTTCGGTGGCGTAGCGTAGTTTGTTCGTGGGTCGTGTTCGTGTTGAACACTTTGAAAGTGAAGATGACTCCTCCGACCTGAGAAAAGGCAAGTGTTTAATTGAGAATGATGAATTGTCATTAAATGGAACTTGTATTTGGTGATGTGTTATATTAAGGTCAAGCTATCCTCGAGGGTCTTTGCTCTTGCGTAATTATTAACTGTCTTCCTTTCTATAATTTCAGGGCCCGCTTTGATATCTCCATAGCCCCAGAGGTGGAGTGTTTCTCAAAGGTTAGTACAAGATCGGATGTCTTACGAATTTCTGTTAGATCTAAATCTCAGATTGCTGCACATTCACACAAAGTTTTCGGGAGTTTGTTTCTTAAGTGGGTTAGTTCTTTCACCATTTTCACAATCAGGGTCCAGGTGTACATGCACATCCTTTGTGAAATTTTTCCTCTGCTAACTGCCATTAACAATTATTAAGTTCAAAGTGATAATTGGTCACGCAAATCATTTATTTTGATCACATTTTCCAACTGCCAGTTTCACTGGTTTTGATGATTATTTGTTCTCAGAGTAGCCTGCTCAGTTGTCATGTTTGCCCTTCACGTAACATTTTGTGCTCACTGAACTGTAACAGGGGCCTGTTCTTGAAGAAACTTTCTCTCAAATTATTTGCAATCCTTTGACTCTTAGACAACTTTGATATCTTCCATAAATAATTAATATTGTGAGAAAGATTTTCCAAAAGAATTAAATGTTAAACTTCTAATTTACCGCAAAATGTTCTATGTTTCATGAAACTCTTCAAATTTTAATGAATATTTCTTTTTTCTTTTTTTCAAGTAAAATTACAAAGGTTTGCTTTGTTCTAGGGCTCCAAATCTACTGTCCCTTCCTCTGGCTTATTGCCAATTTTCAGTTTTAAGGGCTCAGACCTCATTTTAGATTAATTCTGTCCTGGGTTGTATCATAGAAGGAAATTACTGCTAGTTTTGAAGCAGTCCAAAGCTCAACTATTCTCAACTCTGCTTCAAATTACTCTCATTTTATTTATTGTCAGCAAGCTGTTTTAGAGTGGGTATGAAGTAAGAGAGTGCTGAATGGCTAGCTGCTCACACATTGTTAACTGAAAGGAGCAGAGTTTTTCTCTGTGCCAGGACCAAAATAGATGAAGGCTACATGGCAGAACAGTTCTCAACTCACTCTGAATATTTGATTAATTTACTTGATTTGTTTCTCCAATTGTCATGAGTACATTTCCCTGAACGGTGATACTTTAAGTTTTTGCATAAACTGTCTGTATTTAAATACCTACAGTTCCATCATTTAGTGTGTCCCATCTACTCCCTCCACTGAGTGGTCTTCCCCCACTTCCACTATGCCCTTTCCCCCCACTTTTCTCTTACTCTATATCCTCTCTCTCTCTCTCTGCTTCCCCCTCTCTTCTACAAGCTCAGCTGGCTACTGTGTCCCTCCCTCTCCCGCTTCAGTCTGTGCACAGGCACCTTCAACAGCACTGCTGTGGTGCTCTGTCCTGGTCAGACTAGGCTACTGTGGTTTTTATTTGTAGTTCCATTTTACCCCCATTATTTTTCTGTCATCATTTGAAAATGTGTGTGAACAAAAGTCAAGATTGGTTAACTGGCAACTCAGTGATTCTCTCCAGTTTTAATAATTATATTACCTATGGTCAGTAATTTTTTAAATTTTTAGTTAGAAATTCCACTTTATTTTTTTCCTCAATATTACCTTGCATGTACGTAGTTAGCACTTTACAATTTGAATGTTACTTATTTTTTTATTCTTTTTTGCAGGATGCTACTGAAGAGGGAAGATCTTCGAACGTGCATGAATTTCTTCATGGAAGAATAGGAAGTGAAAAAGTGTTCAGAACTTTGCTTCCTGATTGAAAACATCTACCAGTGCAGTGATAAGTGATTGTGTTGACTCATTTCATTCTTACAATGGCTCAAGTCATATTCATGGTGTTGTGTGTTATGGCAGCTATGATGATGCACAGTGGAAGTGCAGATAGTTCAAAGGAAGTTCTTCCTCCACCCTGTGATAGTAATATTTATTGTTATGGTAAATTGCTGCATACCATACAGATGGCATCTCTGTATCATGATTCCAAAACTTTTGTTGACATGAAGATGAAATTCACCCAGAATGAAACTCTCCGACTGTTTGAAGATATGATGTCAAGATCTCATGATAATCCTTCAAGACTTGATTTAGAGAGGTTTGTGAATGAAACCTTTGATCCACCAGGAAGTGAATTTGAGTTTTGGGATCCCTCTGATTGGAAGCAAAGTCCTGGATTTCTGAAAAACATCAGTGACCCTGCATTTCAAGAGTGGGCAGGTGATTTAAATCATCTGTGGAAGTCTCTCGGTCGCAAGATGAAGGAAGATGTCCGAATCAATGAAGACCACTATTCCATCATTTATGTACCTAATCCAGTGATTGTTCCGGGTGGCCGCTTCCGTGAGTTTTACTACTGGGATTCTTACTGGATTGTGAGGGGTCTTCTTCTTTCAGAAATGTATGACACTGTGCGTGGAATGCTTGGTAACTTTATATCCATTGTTGAAAGAATTGGCCTTATTCCTAATGGTGGGCGCGTTTACTACAATAGAAGGTCTCAACCCCCATTACTGACACCTATGGTTTTGAGTTATATAGAGGCTACAAATGATTGGAATTTTGTTAAAGCAAATATTGATACCCTTGATAAAGAGTTCAAGTTTTGGATTGATAAACATGTTGTTTCGGTGGAAAAGGATGGAAAGCACTACAGACTTGCTCGTTTCTTAGACTACTCCTCCGGGCCTAGACCTGAATCTTACAGGGAAGATATTCAAAGTGCACAAATATTTCAGACAGAAGGTGAAAAGGAAAATTTCTACAGGCAACTCAAAGCTGGAGCTGAATCAGGTTGGGATTTTTCTAGTAGGTGGTTCATTTTAAATGGCACAAACAAAGGAAATTTGACAAATACCATGGCAACCAACATTCTGCCAGTTGATTTAAATTCTATAATGTATTGGAATGCTGTAATTCTATCTGACTTCCATAAAAGACTTAATAATGCTAGCCAAGCCCTGTATTATGAAGAGGTTGCAAAAGAATGGCTTGAAGCAGTTGACAAAGTTTTGTGGCATGAGGAAGTTGGTGCCTGGTTGGATTATGATATATTAAATGAGGTGAAAAGAGATTATTTCTATCCCACAAATTTATCACCATTTTGGACTGGATGTTTTGACCCTGCCAAGCGAGATGATTATGTTGGCAAAGTACTTAAATATCTAGAGAAGACCCGTATCACAGTCAATCTTGGAGGAATCCCATCAACTTTAGAGCATTCTGGTGAACAATGGGACTACCCCAATGCATGGCCCCCTCTGCAGTATATTATGATTATTGCATTAGACAATTCCGGTGATCCAGCTGCCAAAGATTTAGCATATGAGCTAACGGAAAAATGGGTTAGATCTAATTATAAGGCCTATAATGATACGCATGGCATGTATGAAAAGTATGATGCGACTGTTTTTGGAGGTGGTGGTGGCGGAGGAGAGTATGAAGTTCAGTTAGGCTTTGGATGGACAAATGGAGTCATTATGGAGCTGCTGCAGAAGTACGGGGAACGTTTGACTGTTAAATCAAGATTTGAAGAGGAACATCCTCTCGTATCAGCAGGAGCTGCTGGGGCTGTTGTTGCAATATCAGTTGCTGGTCAGGTTCTTACAGCCATCCTAGCATTCTTTGTAACACTGGCTGCAGGGTGTGTCGGAATCACTGTATACAAAAAGAGGCACCAATTCAGTAATGCTCCTGACAGGCAAGCTTTATTTCCTAAATTGACTGGAGGGTACATGGAACTAAGAGACATGACATTTGATTGAAGTTGATGTAAGCTACACGAGAAGTGATATTACTATGGTTGATTTGTCCTTTTAAAAGAAATCTCACAAAAGCCGGTTTTTTGTTAGTTTTCTTTTTACTTCTTTCATTTTAATATTAGCATGTATATTAAGGAGCAGACCTGAAAAAATTAAATTATTTACTTGACTAGTCCCCTGTAGATCTTATCTCCTGAGATGCAGTATTTGCTCTTTAGTCACGAACATTAGAATGCTGTGTCAGAAAGCCCCTTTCTCTGGTTAATTTAGGTTGTTTTTTTTAAATGAAAGGTTTAGAGTTATGCAAGGGTAAACTACGGGAGTGCAAGATTTATTTATATTTATAAACAACATGTTAGTGCTGTGATCGGCTTTTCCAGAGTGGCCAGGATATCCTTAGTTTTGAGAACTTCAACTGTAACTCCTTATTTTCTTGAAGTAAAATTTTCTAGTTTTATAAATCTAAATATGTACATGCTGTGCCTCACAATTATGAAGCTTTTCTACAGCATTTGTGATAGAGTATAGGTTTATGTTTCACATATCACAGTACTCTGGATCAGCCTCTCCTTGCAAACTTCTAATCCTCTTTAATGACCTATATTCTAATCTAATAGGTATATTTTTATATAGAGATAATGTCAAGGCAGTGGTATAAGTCTTTCCATGCATCGCTGGCTCTTAGTATCTTCTTCAAACGATATTAATTATTCAGCCACAACCAAGACATAAAACTAAACTTTTATAATTTTGTTATACCAAAGTTTCATTTTCCTTCCCTAGCTCTTCTGTCGTTGGGAAAAGTAGAAATCATTTTTCATGTGATGAAAATTCAATTGTGTGAAAGTTTCTGTTTCCCCTATTTTTTTTTTCCTTTTGAGTGGGTGGTACATTGTAACTATATTTTGCCTGTTAAATGTGTGTAAGTGTGTGCATCTGATGTTAGAATGGAGGAAAGGCTCAACTGGGCTATTTATGTGATATTTCAGTGTGTGTGTTTTTTGTCTGATGTTCAAGGAAACATCAGTAAAACTTGACAACTAGTACAATATTTTCATAAAATTAATTAAACCACTTCCTATGATGCCTTGAACAAAATTTTATCTTGTTTCACTGTCATGGCTTGACTCATATCACCTCAACCAAAAATTACCCAGTTAGTTTTAATTATTTTTTGGTGATCTTAGTGAATCTGGCTGTTCAAGTCATTGGTTGCTGTCCATAGTGTGTGTGTAAAGTGGTATTTTGTATGAATCTGGCAGCTTGGAGCCGGGCAGGTTTGATAGTCATCACCTTTGTGTTGATTGCTTATGTGATTCTTAAGGATATGTTGTTGATTTCTTTGAAGTGTGTATTTTTGATGCAGTATTCATGACTTTAACGTTACTGGCATACAAGCTAAGCTTAAAGTAGGTTTAGTCAGAAAGACAGAGACTAGGCTGGCAGCAAGTGTATGAAATGAGTGTCTTATCTTTATGATTCCTTGAATTTTTATTACCTTCCCTTGTAAATAATCCCTTTTGATGTACTTTGTTTTGTCTGAGACAGTGCTAATGACAAATGATAGTGTTATTGTTGTAATGAAGACACCAATAGATTGAATTTAAATTTTTACTCCTTGAATATTTGTTTACCTTCACCTTGAGAGGGAAGGCTAATATATGAAATAAGTACTTGGTGCTTTTCCCAGGGAAACAATCTAGACTGCCTTTTATATTGTAAGATTTTAAGGGTATTGGCCCTCCTATTGTAAAGAAGAGGGCAGATGTTATGTGTCAGAAATTCATTCTGGTATTTATTTGTGTTTCTTCTGTTGATTGGAAATGTATATTTATTGAGGTTGACACCACTGTTCATCAGTTTGAATGATGTAGTTTCAGATTGTTTGACAAAGCATATATGCATGTGTGTGCAATAGCCAGTGGCACCTAGCAGAATATTGCCCTTGCAGGATATTTTCTATTCAGAAAAGTTTTTGTGTTCCAATTCCATGTTATGATGTAAATGATATTATTCCAGTACAAATTGGGATGTTTGAGTTGAATTGAGGAAGAGACAGTTAGTCAGCCAGTCAGGGTGTTTAATGATGTCTTATCTTCCTATTTTCAACCTGGGCTTGCACAAATCACTCAACTGATGTAAGTATTTTTCTGTATTGAGAATGAATTATCAATGAATTTGGGTAATATTACCTCATACTGGTGCTGACAATACACCTCTATGTTTATTGTTGCCAATCTTGATTTCCTTGCTATTTCATGTGAAACATAGGCACATGTTAAACATTATACTCAATTTCAGTGATGTTTTCTATGAATATTCATGATTTTAAAATTTTTAATGGGACTTGCATTCTTGACTTCTGATGATGTGATCATATAATTTCAGTCATGTATATTTTCTGAGGTACGCTACGCCTTCCAAAACTTTGACATTTGCCTCAAAAGCAACACTTCTTTGTATTTCTTTGATTCTATTATTTATCGTATCTGCTCAGAAAGACATTCTTCATTATGCATAATCAGCGATTATATTGTTAACTTGTTTTATTTTGAGGTGTACAGTGTGGAAAAAAATGGTGCAGGCACCCAAGTTTTCCCCCTCTTTCTAGTTTCTATTTTAAGTGTAAATGTTTACTAATTTAAGGTAATGGTGCCAAAGAGAGTTGTTATGCTTTGTTACTGAAATGTATCATTTCCCCTGAGATTGCGCAGTACTTTTTACTGTTTCTTCTTAATTGCTGCTGTATCTATTTGCCTCCTCTTTGCCACCCAGTAACACGAAAAGTTTAATTTTATGTTAAAGTTTAAGTTGGTTGTCATTTACTGCCCTGGAAAGAATTTTTATTGTATACTGATTTGTTTTACATGCTCTCTGAAGCTGCAGCAGAGTTAGAAATCCTGCTGGCTTGTCTTTTAAAATTGGTGTTACAGGCGGTATTTATGAAATAAATGTATATTTTCAATTATACGCGACCTTTTTTCTTTCTTTCTTACGTCCTGGATGGAAATTTTCTTATCAGGCAACTGCGATGGCCAGCCTCCGTCGGAGGACCGAGACGGAGGATCAGCGTGTGTGTTTGTGTGTGTACTCCGCTCCGCCCGGTACATGCTCGTCAGGTGGAGTGGAATGGTGTGATAACGCGTCATGTCACTGTACCAAACTTACACAATCCGGAAGGAGCACTTGGGCGGTAACAATGCCGTGCGCGCCTCGCCGCCGGCTGTGCCGTGCCGGCTGTGCCGTGCGCTCATCCTGTGTGCCCTGCCCGGGCTCTGCCCAGCACAGTGGGCACTGGGCAGGCCGGCCAAGCCAAGCCAGGCGGCCGCCGAGCTGAGCCGCGGGCAAAGCGCGGGCAAAACCGTGGGCAAAGCCGCCGCGGGCTGCGCTGTGCGCCGCTGTGCGCCGCTGTGCGCCGCTCTGCGCTAGCGACACGGCCCAAGGTCGCAGAGGCAGCCTTATTACCACTCCGTGCCACTGCCACTCTCAGCCTGGATGGATGGACGGCGGCCGAGGCGGCCCGCGGCCGGTCGGACCCGCCGGCCCGGGGCACAGCCGGGGGCGGCAAGCAGATTCTGCCGGCCACGGCCTCTGCTGCTACTGCTACTGCTGCACTCCGATCGTCGTCGGGCTGGTTGGTGTAGGTGCTGTATAGCTACCTACCGCCTTCGAGCGGGGCCGCCGGGCCTCGCCAGTCAAGTCGTTTCGGAATTGGAATTCCCTCCCGCCGCCCTCCAACCCGCCGTCGCCGCCGCAGAGCCAGGCAGGCGGACACGAATGGGCGGCTGGCGGCGTGAGTGGCTGGACTGCGTTTATGAGAGCGATGCTCGCGCTCCCTTGCAGCTCGGCGGCGGCGGGGCGGGGCGGGACGCTGCTGGCCGGCCGGCTGGACCCGAGGTGACGTGAGGCTCCAAACAGTTCACAACCATCCGGCCGCTAACCGCGTCGGCCCAGCAAAGGCGGCACGCGCCGAGCGCGAGGCATAGCCGGGCGGGGCGGAGCGGGGCGGGGTAGTGGTTAGCCTGTTAGCCACCTGTCATTATACGGCCGCGAAGGGGGGGTGGAGGGTGACATTGAGGCGGCCTCGGCCTCTCATCGCTCTCTCACGAGAGCGAGAGCGAGCGCGAGGGTGGTCATGCGGAGGGTGGCTTATGCGTCGTTGCTCTCTCTCTCTCCCCGGTCGCTGCCTGCCGGTCTGCTCTACCCGCCGCTGGCCTGCCGGTCGGCCCGGGGGCCGCGCGGCCGTCGGCCGAGCAGCGCGGCGTGGGTGTTTTGAGCCCCGTGGACCTTGACGGTGCGTCGCGAGGCGGGTGGGTGGGAGGAGGGGCGAGGGAAAAAATGCCTTGTTTTCGCACAGAGTTGATGGGCGCAGAACGCAGTGCGGGACGGCGGCGGCGGCGACGCCCTGGGCGGTGTGCCTGCGGTGCCAGCGGTGCCCGCGGCGGTGCCTGCCGGCCGGCCGGCCAGCGCGGCCCCCATCGGACCTTGTCTCCTATGCTGCTCGGCCTGGTTCAAGGCCCTGTCCTGCTGGCCCCGCGGAGGCCAGGCGGCGGCGGCGTGCGGGGGAGGGGAGGGGGAGGACCCCCC